ATTTTTGTTGCTTGTTTGTTTAAAGTGCAAGTCTGTTGGTGGTGTATATAAGTGATAATACCTGGCCTTGAGAAAATTTAATTAAAAGAGAGAAAGCATAACGAGGGAAGAATTTGGGGTGTACCGTTGTATGGATTTAGACTCAGATCATAGAGTGCGAGGATAGGTAACTTGTACTCTAGATCTTTCAGATTATATTCCTGCAATCTCTTCCGTTGGTCAAACTGTTTCTGAAGGAGTAAAAGTGTAACAAATCTGGAGGGGCACAAACTGTAATAAATGATGGCTAGATGAAGGTGGAAAAACTGATTGATCATTAGGGTTTGAAGGGTCAGTAGAGAGTGATGACATGAAGTTAATGTTAGCTTAAGGCAAAAGAATAAGGGGTCAGGAACTTTAAGGAAACTGCAATGATTGAATTGGAAGAGTTATGTGACTATGAAAAGAACTTCACACAGTGCTGATAAGTTGACTTTATTTAGTCATTACATATTTTAAAGTAAATTTTCTGTTTGCTCACAGAAACATCAGAGCGATTGCAATTGATTCTGCTTGAGATACAGCCATGTGATACAAATGATTACTTCACAGAAACAAAATTGTTGAAAGAATGTTACAGACCAGACTGCACTGATGAGAGAACTCTGAACATTTGTGCTGAAATTAAAGGTAATTCAGGGTGAAACAAATTTTTTGCAGGGTAGATTGTGGTGAAGGTTAGAGGATACCAGGAAGCCAGACAACTTTTAATTGCATAACTTTTATTCACAAAAACCAAGGCTAACTTTCTCATTAGTTTATCTGAATCCAGCTGATCTACTTTAGTCTGACCTTAGCCTGTTGCCACAGCTATTCCAGAGGGATGTCATTGGGAGTGTTGCTGGTTGTTTGCTGCTTCTTTCACTTCATTTAGATACCAACTATTTTCTATTTCCCTTTTTTCCCACCATTATTGTAAACTGTTTGGATACAGTTCCTTTTGAAGCATTAGATGCTTTATAAATGTTGATTACTATTAAAGGAAGACAGAAAATTTAGCCTGAGAAAATTACCTGCTTATACTAAGCTAAGAGTAGTAAGTCTCAAAATGATTACCCTTATTATAAAAGTTTAATGTTGGACTCATCCAAATGAGTGCCACTAGGTATACAGGTAGTCCTCGATTAACGACCACTTGTTCAGCAACTGTTTGAAGTTATGACAGTGCAGAGAGTGATACTTACAATTGGTCCTTGAAGTTCCAGCTGTCCCAGCACCCCCGTGGTCACGTGATCACAATCTGGGCACTTGACAACCAGCTCGCACTTATGATGATCATAGCATCCTATGGTCACATGATCGCCATTTGTGACCAACCCTGCCTGCTTCCCACAAGCAAAGTCAATGGGGAAGCCAGCAAGGAAGGTAGTAAGTCACTCAAGTAAGTCTCTCATGCCTGGCAGCAAGCACCTTGGGTCTTGCAGTATTTGTGCTGCACTGGCTGCTTGCGTACCCTCCCCTACCCTGCAGCAGCTTAACAACCCGTGAGCCTTACTTAACAACAGTAACAGGAACTGCTGGGATTGCTGTTGCTAAGTGATGTGGTCACATGATGTTTTATGTGCTGCATTTTAAGACCACATTGCTTAGCAACAGAAATTCTGGTCTCAATTACCATTGATACCCAAGAACTACCTGAACAGAGATTGCAAGTTAATTTAGGGGCCCAGTCCTGAACTTTGGTTCAGCTTGTACTACTCTGGAATCAGTCCAGTCTAACCCTATGACCAGTTTAAGATACTGTTAGGAAAAAAACCCCGTTCTTCCATAGTCTAATAAGGGAAAAACATTAATGTGTCTATTTTTTAAATTATTATTATTTTGAATGGGATGTGATTTGTAGGTTGTGAGGAGAGGAAGTATAAGTCATTTCCTAGAGGTTCAAATCATACTCCTTTCCATGCTGTGCTGTTGTTTCTGAGACACATCTAATGTCTCCACCTTCCAATCATGGCATTTTATGTTAATAATGCAAGTATTTATCTTTTTTGCATTATCTTGGAGCTTCAGAGAACTAGACTGGTGTTAGAGCTTTATAGAATCTCAGAATTAGAACAGAATGGAAAAGATTCAACTCCATTCACTGGGGAAATGGAAATCAGTCCCAAATTACTGTTACATTTTGTTGTCCAGACTGGCTGATGCATACTGATTATTGCTATATTAAATAGAATTGTAAAATATTTTTCAGGAATTTTCTGAAAGCCAGCTACGATTGTGGAATTGTGTTTTTTGTTATTGGTGTTCTTCTGGTGATTCTGATTCTTTGGCATTAGGGCAGCTTGAACTCTGTCAGGAAGATATATTTCACATTTATTCCTCCTGAGAATAAAGAGTTAGAATGCCATGTTATTTTTCCTATGTTTACTACTTACAAGAAGCCACTGGCCATGAATATCCAGAGATTTGAGGTATTTTGACAATAATATTATGATGGGAAATATGAAAGAGTTAAAAACTCCAATATAATTGTTTGACATTTTCTTCCCAATAAATAGAATGTTGGAATCTAGTACCCAGTGAGCATTTATTTAGAAATACCATCTTATCTCTGCAGCTAAAAAAATTGTAGATCTAGTAGGCATAATGCTGCATGCACCTCTCTGAGCCCCCTGTCAATATCAGTCAGAATAATGACATGGAACAGCCAAACTGTTTAAGGAACCAGGCTATATTCTTGTGGATGGGTTTAAGTTGAACACATGCTGCTGAATATTTCCACTGGAAATGAATATTTGAACTGAGGACTGGGGAGCTTCCGGGTGAGTCATGTCTAACTGAAGATGTCTCTGCGAACAGCAGAAATGACTGCTGTGAAGAATGAAGGACTAGCGAGTAGGCCAGTCCTTCAGAATCTCTCCAGAGAAGGAGAGAATGGGAGATTGCCCATGAGTGCTCTGAATGGCAGCTTCTCATGAAGGGACTGTAGTACAGGGGTCTCTTGTGGGTTTGAGTGCCAGGAGCCAAGGGAGATGACTTCTCTGCTCTCAGCAGCGACTGAGCCTTTAGTAAGGACACTAAGCCAGCTAAACTCATTTTCTAATCACATTTGAAAATGTTCAGTTTAACTTATTTTATGGATATTAGAGACCTTCAAAACTGCAAGGTTAATTTGACACCTGGTGAGTTTTACCTTCTTCTTTGGATTTAAGGAATTTTAATCAGAGACTTAAGAGTTTAAAATAATATACAATTGGCAAAAAGCGAGAAAAGATTTTGATTTAAGAAAGTTTTAAATGGACTGGGAGATCATTTGGAATATTGGTTATTTTTGCTGTAAGATTTGAAAAACAAGTATATAATTAAATAATATACTATGGGAAATGACTGAAATGGAACTAA